TCATCTTCACCTGAGGCAGGAACATCTTGAAACATGGATTCTATTTTCTGCTGGCTTTCATTAATTTCATCATCCCTGAAGGCGGAGTCACTCTGGTGCCAGCTAATTAAGACCTATTCAGGGCAGCTTGGAGTCCTTTATCAGTCTGGAATTAGCTTTGCTTCTTCAATGGGGACTACGGCTTTCTCGGTTATTACTTAATTAAATAATGGACCTATATTTGTCAGCATATTTCTAAAGTAGAATGCAGGCTGCAACTGCCCATCTGCCCACAGGAAAGCGGCATGTTCCACACTGGCTCTCTACTGCCTCTCCAGAAAAGCTAACGTGCCAGGAACACGCATCTGTACGTGCCAGGAACACGATCACATTCTTCGATGTTGAGTGTGGTGCCACGGGCCACTGTCAGCCCTGCAGCACCTCTAGGATGTTTCAGTCTTAAGATGCATTAATGCAAACGTGTAAATGTCAGCAGGCTAATCTTATTTATGCACAATAATTATTCAAAGGGAAAAAAAGATACTTTGGTCCCAATTGTTTTGAATAAAAGACCTTTATTTCCAAAGGTTTCTGGAAGAAGGGAAAAGTTCTGGAGAATTCGCAAGGGAAAACAAGGGTAACCCTTGCCCAATGGACCCGGAATTCCCAAGGAAACTGGGCCTCAGGAGATAAAATCAGAAAAGGCAAACAGCCTTCTCTTTCTGTTCTCTTAGTCTTCCCCAGAAGGTTGCCCTCTCTAATGGACAAGCCAAGTAATTTTAGACCAGTAATTGATACGAAAGCAAATCACATTTCACCTGGTTTGAAAAGGCATTCCAGTACGCTTGCGAGTTGATCTAAATGTATTTTGAGACATTTAATGGTGCACATATTTCTTCTGCTATTTCATGTTTCCTCAGTGAGGAATCCCCTAAGACAAAAAAACTCAATCCATGGAAAGGTTAAAAGATGCCTGTCTTAAATGGAAAGTTTCTATTTTTTTTAAGAAAAGGATTTTGACAATTTAAAGAAGCAAACTGAGGAACAAATTTTTCTTTGAGAAACTCCATGTAATTATTTGCCTATCACGAATCACTTTAGCTGCTAGTTATATAATTTTTTTAATTCTACAAATTATACATAATAATGGTGACATGATTTCTCCATTTAAAAAAAACTTGATGATGAAAAAGAGTGCTTGCTTAAAAGTTCCCATAAGTACATGCAAACCAAGCAAAATGCTTCACAACAAAAGTAAAATTAAATAGACACCCCTTTCTCCCCCATGCCTGCAGTGATGTATAATACTTAATGTACTCCTATTTACTTAGAAGGGATATATTAAAAACTTTTTAGGGACACTAAAACAAACACATTTTGTGAGCATAGACCCACATGAATGTTTGCCATTCGAGCATCCTCTCTGATGCAAAACAATCTTAAAATGTTTACAGTAATCATATTGTTTGTTGTGCTCTTATTCTAAGATTTGTGTGTGTGTGTGTGTGTGTTGTGCGACAAAGCAGATGAATAAAACTACATTGATATCTCTGTGACCTGTGATTGCCAGCACGGTAGAAAGAAGAAACAGATGTAAGTAAGATGATGTAAAATGAAAATCAGTGAGCCCTGTATTTGAATTGAAAGTTTCAGCTTGAACCCATCATGAATTTATCTTGAAACAATATACACGGGGTATTGTTTATAAACTAGTTCTGACCACTGTAAAGGTCAAGAAACAAAGACCAGTCCAATAGCAATAAGAACCACCAAGATTATGCTCTCTTAACTACTAAAAGGAACTGAGCTTCTTTGGAGAAATACCTGGATCCAGGTCTGAGTCAGGATATGTACTAAAAAGCTCCTGAATCATGATGCCAGGAAGCAAAGAAGCTACCTAAGACATCAAAAGATCTCCAAGACAATTTGAAGGGGGTCCAACAGGCCAGAATAGGCTCATTTGAGTAAAATAATACAATTTTAATGGACTGAAATACTTCAATTACATTTAAGTCTATCAGTGAATATGTAAAGCATAATAATAATAAAATTACTGTTCAACTTTGGAGGATGCAAAAGAACTAATGCATTAAAACTAGTAAATAAAGAGACCAGTGCTATCTTCTACTTTATGAAGACCAAATGGTTAATAAAGGTAATTTTCTGAAAAAGGTATGATAAGATATCACCACTTTGCAATCCAAGTAAATTATTGGATTTCAACAATAATCACGAATGTCTTCAAACATAAAATAGCAAGAAACTAGTGAGCATTTCTCCTGCTAGAAGTACTACCTAATAATTGTGGCAAAATATTGGACCTGAATCCAATCAAACTTCAATACATAAATACCAACATAGAAGAAATTCCATGAGGATGCAAGTAGGAAAGTTAGATTGTGGAAAACTCTAAGACAAATGCCTACATTTATTCAACAAAAAGTAGGAAGAGAGACACAGAGAGAGGGGGAGAGACAGAAGCAGCTACACAGGTCAAGAGAAAGATACGAAATGTATCAATCAATTATAATTTATGGACCTTATGCTAATCCTGATTCAAACTAACTGCTAAAAATATAGTAATGAGGCAACTGGGAAAATATTCAAACTGACTAAATATATAATGATATTAACAAAATAGTGTTGATTATTATGCAAGGCAATGCCGTTGCCTTTATTTTTAAGATTCTTTCTCTTCTAGAGTTATGCATGGAAATACTTATAGATGAAATAATAGGATGTCTGAAATTTGCTTCAAAATAATCTTTAAAAAGAGGGAAGGTGTGTAAACGGAACAAGATTGGTCAGGAGTTAATAATGAGTCAAGCTGAGTTGTGGCTATACGGAGGTTCATTGCACTACTAGCCTTTCTACTTTATAAGTTTGACATGTTCCTTCATAAAAAAGCTGAAAATATATTCTTGTTTGAAATTTGGCAAGGAATGTCCGGGCACTGTGGAAAAATCTTAGACAATAAAAATGTTTAATCCAGTCAAAGTTAGGGTGTAGATTTAAATCATAGTGGAGATATCAGCCTTTGAGGTAATTTTGGTTAATCTTTTGTTGTCCAACCAGGTTCTACTCAAATCATCCGTTCTGACCATTTCCAAAACACTACTGTAGTTGTCATCTCCTGTCTGGCAGTATTGCTCGATGAAGCAACCAGGCAGGAATAGATTCAGGGAAAAAAAGTAGCAAGAATGCATCATACAATATGTTGGCATTTTTCACTTTGTTTTGGTAACCCTACCAACTGAATGATACCTGCGAATTAATTTTACCAAGTGAGTAAAATTACACTACAAAAACAGCTTTCTTCATCACAGCCAGTAAAAAATGACCTCCCCAAGCCATTCCTTCCCAGTTCTTGCTGTATAATCTACATATCTGTGATGGTGTTGTCTCCCTGAAAGCTCACAGCAGAAGCCAACATGATATAAACACATAAAAACATGAACCAACAGCAAGTTAAGCTCCTCTCTGATCTCCCCAAATTATTCTAGGGCTCAATGATGGCTGGAGGATACACTGAAGGCTAATTCTAACTAATGAAAACCCAAATATATCTAATTAAATCCACTGCTCTGGGCTAGTGAAAGACCAGACATTTCCAAAGCCCCTTGAGAATGACCGTATTTATAAAGAATGGTGCCACACGGGAATGTATTTCTTTGAACCACCATCCCTACTCCTTTTATCTCTCCTGCCTTCTCAGTGGATAGTTTATGCTACACCAATTCACATCTAAACTTTGAGATTCTTCTTTCTAACAATAGCAGGGGAAGGAACTAGTATGTTACGGCTATTTGTGCCTTGCATTTCCTATGAAGCTGTGTACTTTGGGCGCTCAGAAGTACAAAACGCTAAGTTCAAGTCAACCCACACTATTCAATAGAAGAGTTGGTTCCCCTAAGATTTTAAGATAATTATCAGCATTCAAATCACATCCAGAGATATCAGAAACGGCCTACCCCCAACAAGTATATACTTCAACTAAGTCCAAAGTTTAGATTTGATAATATCGAATCATGAAAGACATACAAGAATGCAAATATCAGAACTATAGCAGATGACCAATTCACCCATAGTACTGCACAAACAAGCAAAACTAATAATTTAAAACATTAGCCATTGGTTACAATATCTTCCTTTAGCAGTCCTTTATTAGAGCCAGATTTATGAGTCAAGACAGGCCCATGGGTAATTCCCCTTCTCTCCATTATACTGGCTATTTTTCTAATGAGGAAGAAAGAACGGCAGACAATACAGTTACACGAGGGGTGAGGGGCTGGGAAGGGAGCAAAGCATGGGAACAGGCTTAGGCAAGCCAGCCTCAAGAACAGGAAGCGGAAAGGACATTACAGAACGCTGCGGGAAAAAGTGGGTGCAATAAAAAATGCACATTGGCCTTTGGATAATCGAGTGAATGACATTTATACCTTATTTCTCTTCAAGAATCCAATTGCCAATGATTTTTAAGTGATGTATACTTTCAATATTGTATTTTGCTTGACAAGATACCAAGCTGTGACGTTCAGGATCACAGTGTCTATTTACATGCAAGATGCTATGTAATTTTACTAGAAACTCAATAGACTGTTCCGTCTGTGGTCTCAGGAAAAATTCTGCCACAATTTCCAGATGAGTTTAGACCAATGCATAGCCCTAAAGTTCCTGAACATTTCTAAGTTTTGAAACAGAAACGTGTAGACTTCCTCATTCAAATGAAATGAAACTCAATTGATAGTAAATGGAGCTAAAGAGGAAAATAATTAAAGATATTTTGGGGGCGTATCCAATGTTTCTTGGAGCCTAAATGCAATCAAAATGGAGAGAACAGAAGGTCGTGTAGATGGAATAAATGCGACCTAGCTGCTGGCTCATCAAGTAATCATAATAGTAAAAACATACAACAGCTTAAAAGCTCACTCTGTTCATTTGATCGCTGGCAAGAGGATTCAGCAAAGATTTAGCAAACAAATGGAATCAAAGACAACGAGGCTGCTTCAGCGAGGACTCACCTGTCTTTCCCAGTTTCCTTCTTGAAAACCCCATCACAGTAACTCATGCGCTTCTCTGTGGTCACATAAATTTGGGCTTTCGGGTAGACGTCGACCGCCTTTTGCAACATGTTGTAAACGATGCCATTCCCATCTTTTCTCATATTGCGGAAAGGGCCCCAAATCACATAAATAGTCGCGTTTGCTTCTTTGAAAAAATAATCAGGGTTTTTCAGCAGAAGAGGAACGCTGGTGTGGGACACAACGCGAATCATCGTCATGCGGCCAACATCTTCTTCGTAACCCTTGGTGGGGGCGTTGTTCATTCTCCAAATGCAAGAGGACCGGTCTATCTCATTTCCTACCTTCTGGCCAGTCATCTGGCCGGAGTTCGACACTATGGCGCAAAGGTCACAGTCCAGTTGCAAAGGCTAAAAACAGAAGGAGAAAGAAGACACGTAAATCAGTCAACGCCACTGAGTCAAACGAGCTCTTTTGGGAAAACAACATTCCAGACATTGTGTGGTTGCGATTATGAAAATTATCTCTGAAGTACCTACTTATCCCAAACCTACAGTCTCTGCTGCAGGTTATCAAGTTGGGAGCATGATTCCACTAAAAAGGTAAATATACAAGGGGGAACACCCCCCAAAATGAAATTTATTCAGAAACATTGTGTATTTATTCTTACATGTTTAAACTTCAGTTGCCTTCCAAGGACTCTCCATCCAATGCAATGCACCTATTGAGATGCTTTCTCCACTCCTCAAAATAATTTTTGAACTTGTCAATTTGGATGCCTTTTAGTACTTCTGCCATTTTTTGTTTCACCTCTTCCACATTGGTAAACCATTTCCCTTTGACTTTTTCATCAGGGGAAAAAAACGCCACTTGGGGTGAGGTTGGGTGAACAGGAAGGGTGGGACACGGGGGTCATGCCAACTTTAGTTCAAAACTGCCGACACTCAGCATGGCATAGGCAGTGAGTTGCCATGGTGGAAGAACTAGCCACCTGTTTGCCACAGCTTGGAACATTTCTTCCACAAATTGTGTTGCAACCTTTTCAAAACTTCCAGATAAAAACTTTGGTTGACTGATCTGGAGAAACAAATTCTAAGTGTATTGTAAGGGGCCAGCCTGCCAAAGAAAAAAAAGATAATTCTGGGTTTTGGGGGGGTTCCCATTATATACTGTCAAAAAATAATTTTAGATTGTACAATTCCCATGTGTTGGTCTAAAATTATATAGAAAAATCATCTTTGATAAATGATAAATATTTTTATTGAGAGCTATAATTTCAAATGAAATAAGGAAATATGAAAGTATTTGATCTCTGTAATAAGGTTGGTGCTATAAAAATGCAAAATAAACATATCCAGACATCAATTCTGTACTTTACTTATCTAAATGAATGGTTATGTAGCAGTTGATAAAAACATGAAGAGCTCGGCAGATGATAAGATTAGGAAAAAGATTTCCAGAACCCAGAACTGCTCAAGACAAGTTCCAGGCCAGCAAAAAATATTAGAGAGACCCTCTAAAGATTCCCTGAGGTGATCAGGCTAATTTCCTTTTGGGTTTATGTTTATTCTAGATGGGTAAGCAAATGCCTCTTTTCAGAACCCAGGGAAGGTATATACACAGTCCCCAGTGCTGGTCTAAACCGCTTCCCCATTCTTATTTATTTATTTTTTTTGAGTTGGAGTCTCACTCTGTCACCCAGACTGGAGTGCAATGGCCGCTCCAGGCCACCACAGCCTCAACCCGCTGGGCTCCGGCGATCCTTCCGCCTCAGCCTTCCGAGTAGCCGGAATTACAGGCGCGCGCTACCACACCCGGCTAATTTTTTGATTTATTGTAGAGATGAGGTCTCGCTGCCCAGGTGGGTCTCGAACCCGTGGGCTCAGGCAATCCACTCACCTCAGCCTCCCAAAGGCGCGGGATTACAGGCTGAGCCACCGAGCCCGGCCCCCATTCTTATTTAACCGTAGAGATAACAGAGACTCCTAGACATTAAGCATCAGCTTCTAGGACATACAGATGATAAAGTTGCAGCGGTAGATTCAAATCTAAATCTTCTAGCTGTAAGTTCAATGCCTTTCCATTATTTTCTGCTTCCTTTCCTCCTAAAACAACCAAATAAATTACTTTTGCTGCTTCTCTGGTGCATAAAGAAGTCACCCTATCTTTTAAGACAGTGATAAAAGAAGCCATGAGCTTTGTTGATATACATCATTCTCATCATCCTTTAGTGAGATTCTCCATTTCCTACCTGACAATTGATCCTGAATTTTTATTGTTCCTATTGGTGGGTAAGTAGCCTCTCTCACATTGGGCACTGACCCTGTTTCATGATCTGGGTTGTACCTTAATTTGTTGTTGAATGGTATCTGTCCACTAGACAGTAAACTGTGTAAGAACAATGTCTATCTTCTTCGTGTTAATCCCAGTCTCTAGAAGTCCCTGGAAACTATTGGAAGTTCAATTGGTTAAGTTGGGCAATAAATGTAATTGAATAACAATAACTATATTGAAAGTTAAGGTAGCTCAGAAAAGTCAACTGGATAATCATAACAGATCATTTTCGCTATCAATGGTAGGCACTCACAGTAGTTATTGAGCATCTACAATGTGTCAGTCTCAGTTCCAGGAGTTCAGATTCAGCTGTAAAAATGGTAACAAAGATCTCTATCCTCATAGAGCTTACATTCAAGTTGAGTTTGGGGGGGAAGGTAATACATAAAGCGGCATACTGTATAATACATTAGATGCTGCTCTGTTTTAAATAGAGGGAAATTAAAGCAAGGAAGAAGGTTAGGAAGTATATCCAGTGTGGGTGCGTGCGCATGTGTGTGCTGGTGGAGTGATCAGAAAAAAAACCTCACTGAGAAAATGATATTTGAGGAAAGCCTGGAATAAGGAAAAGGGCTGGCCATATGTGTATTTGGGAAAAGGCATCCCTGGAAAGAAAACACAAAAGCCCACACAAATACCCTGAGGTGGGAAAGAAATAAGAAAAAGCAACATGGCCCAGCACAGCCAGGGGGGACAGCCAACAGGTACCGGGGCCAGAGAAGTCACATAAGGGCCTCTGACTTCACATGAGCTGAGGGGGCCATTGAAGAACTCTAGACAGAGGGGTGGCTGATCTGATTTCTAGTTTAATAGCTTTGGCTTCTGTGGAGTAAGTTCACGAAAAAGAGGCGGGTTGTAGAAGGGGGAGCAGGCTGCTGCTGCCGTCCCAGCAAGAGAGAATGGGGCTGGGACCACACTGAGTAGCAAAGGCGAGGGACAGAAGCTGCGGCACTGCCCCGGCCTGGAGATGGACAATGGGAGGTGAGCCAGAGGAGTCCAGGGCAACTTCAGAGTTTTAAGCCATGGGAAGACTGGAACCACCGCTAACTGAGGAGAGACAGCTTCAGGGGGAGCAGGATCAAGGGAGGAATATCGGGGGCTCATTTTCAGACCGCTTAGACTGAGATGCCTTGAACACAGACTCTTGAATCAAATATGATAACAAGACTACTCACACTACTTTCAACGTCTTTCTATTAAAGTAATATGGGCTCACTGTGGAAAGCCTGAAAACTTAAAAACCGAATAAATAAAATGATAAACTCTTCCTATTCCCAGCACTCGCCAACACTATATGTTTTTGTCATTTTTTTCTATATATATTATTTTAGACAGGTTGAGAAATATCATTTATATAATTTGGCATCCTTGGTTTTTCAGTTAATGAACAACCATTAACCAAAAATCAGCAACCTTTTCCATGTCAGTAAATATCCCTTAGAGATAGTTTTTATGCCTGTCCAATATCCTACTATATGGATATACCATCATGTACTTACTTGCTTACTTGCAAGGCATCTAGTTATTATCTGGTTTTCTTTCCTACTATAAAATAAGTGCTTCAACGAACATCCTTGTGCTTCCTGCTGTATTTTGGATGCTAACAGTTATTATGCTAATTCAAACTAGTTTCTTTGATTTCATTTTTATTGTGCTCCTATAAGATAGGCAAATTGACAAGAACATCTGTTTGAGACATCAAAAATAAGAATTCTGTAAAACACTTGGCTTGCGGCACCTAGAAAGGCCCGCTGGCGAGTTGTCAAAGGGCTCTCCTTCACCCCGACATAACACATTTTCTTGACTACATGTGCAGCAGGTTGCAGCCCCAGGTTAGAACAGGCCACTCCAACGTGGGTGAGGACATCAGGACACTTGGAAAATGGAGATTCGTCAGTTGGGCCACAGTGAAGACTTTAACAAGGACCCAGTGGAGGCACACCAAGGTGCCTGTCGGGCTCAGGCATTGACTTCAAACCCCCATCCCCTCGTCGTCCTTGGGGTCTATATTGTTTTAGGTAATAAGAAGGAACATAACATTCTTCTTGCCAGACAATTTTCAGAAGAACCTGACATATATGAAACTTAGCTGGGCCCTCCGAACACACAGAGTCATACAGATCAACGCCTGATTTAAATCGCGTGTCGCGTGGCACCCTCCAACTCATCACCCAGCAGCACATGGTACAGAGAAGTGACATTCCTTTTACTGTTCCAAGAAGTCGCTTCATTGTGTAATAAAAGTATGGCTGGGACAGAGCCTCCACAAATTTTTTTAAAAATCGAAAAGAAGAAATGAAGAAAAAAGCCTCGGACGTGCTTCTATCTATGAAATGCGGCAATCTGCACTGGATTTCCCAGTTATGACAGTGAAATTAGCCAGTTCTGGTGTAACAAGGCTTAATGTAACTAATAAGAATCGGCATACTGGTCTCACTTGACAATCGTAACCTCTGAAAGTGATCAATTAAGACATCCCAATCTGTTTCCTAACAACGTGTTGGGATGCCGCAGCTGTGCAGATTATGAGGTCAGCAGCTCACTAGCAACTTGAGGGCAAACACTGGGGACAACAGCTTCTTGTTTCTGTGACAAATATGGATGCAACGGCTTTGGGGGTAGGTGGTGATCTTTATAAAGCGCCCCTTTCCTTTCCACTGTCCCCTGGGTCCTGTTGTCATCCTGGCCAGAGTCTGTCCCATGTCTGTACTTCTTGGTCACAGTCCTGCCTCTTCCTTTCTGAACACAGCACCAGGAGATATGACTGAAGGTATCACTGCTCTATTCACCACTCAGTTGCAGGAACCTTTTTTTTTTTTTTTTGAGTTGGAGTCTCACTCTTGTTGCCCAGGTTGGAGTGCAGTGGCACACTCACAGCCACCGCAGCCTCGAACTGCTGGGCTTAGGCAATACTTCTGCCTCAGTCTTCTAAAGTAGCTGGCACTACAGACGCATGCCACCATGCAAGGCTAGTTTTTGTGAGTTATTGTAAAGGTCTCACCAAGTTGCCGGGCTGGTCTCGAACCCCTGGGCTCAGGCAGTCCTCTTGCCTCGGCCTCCCAAAGTGCTGGGATGA